AGAAGTGAAACGGAGATTATTTTCTTTTCTCTCTTCCCCTGCAAATTTAGAATGATTTTTTTTTCTCGTAACCCCCGTAATATCAGCAAGTCTTTACCTTCCACGTTTGTCTGTAGGCTTACTTTTAACATTATTTGTTGATGAAATGTATTTTATAAAATAGGCTATTAAGAAAAATATTAATCGATTTGGAACCAGTTACATTATAACTGTACTATGTTGATTGTGACATTTTGCTCATTACCCCCTCTGAAAAAAATCATTTCCCTTTACATTTTAAGTATGCCTGCGTGTACGTCTCGACTCTCCATAGATTGTGTCTTGTAGAAAAAAGTACCTATTTCAGTCTAAACCAATTAATACTGATTGCTTGTCCACATGAACAAAGCTTCATGTGGACAAGTTATCATTTTTGTTCTATTTTCATTTCAATACAACTCTTTTTTTATCCTATTTAAGTTCACAATATGTCTGACCAATTCATTTACTTTTATAATATACCTGTACATACATATGCATATATTGTTCCAATGCAGAGACTGAAATGCTACTTGAAATATATTCCTATTTTTTTTATACCACATAGATTTTTATAGAGTTTATTTGTAAATTTCCCCCTATTGTATTTTGGTCTATCACATGCACAAAAAATGTTTAGGCATCTTTACTCTCCCAGGAACAATGTATTAGAATTTTATTAAACGAACAGAAACATACAAGCTCTACAGGAGAGGGCTAATATCAACTATATCCACGTAAGCCATGTTCAAAATAAAAATAAGTCATACTGATTTTCTTCTCTTTTATTTTCGATTCCTGAAAAATGATAAAAATGAATGATAATGATAATTATAAAAAAGGAAATGATGATGATAATAATAATGATGATGATAATAATAAGGATAATGATAATAAAGATACTGATCACTTTTAATTCCTAAAAGAAAGAAGAAGAAAAAATTGTCAAGTGTATTTTTAAATGAAATTAAGCGGAAAATATGAGAAAAGTACCTTTCTTGTTGGTTTCAGTTATCCAAGTGAAAAGACTACTGCATACTTGTTATTACAATGATATAATGATAAGATACGATGAATAAAGAGAAAATAAAAAAGAGAAACAACGCGAGTGAAAAAGACTGGAGAGAGAGAGAGAGAGAGAGAGAGAGAGAGAGAGAGAGAGAGAGAGAGAGAGAGAGAGAGAGAGAGAGAGAGAGAGAGAGGGAGAAGAAAAGAGAGAGAATGAGACAGACTTAGATAAAGAGAGAGGAAGAGTGGGGGAAAATATACTAAAAGGTTTCACAAACACTGTAAACCGCAGCTGAACGTAGACAAAATCACACGAACGATCATTAAACAACACGAATCAATAATGAACGTAAGAAAGCAGATTACTGAATAGAGTAGAGACGAAAGTACGACACTTTTTGTAACCAAATTCCAGATGATTGTCTCGCCTGAGGTACCAGATGAATGACTGATCCATTAGAATGACTGAAATTTGGTAACGTATGGATTTTATATGAAGGTCTTTTTATGATGCTAACAGTGCACATTTATGCACTTTCTCATTTATTCCTTTGTTTTAATCTAACTTTTTTGTGGATATAACGTCAGTCAAATTTTTGTTTTCTCTCTCTGTCTCTCTCTCTCTTTCTCTCTCTCTCTCTCTCTCTCTCTCTCTCTCTCTCTCTCTCTCTCTCTCTCTCTCTCTCTCTCTCTCTCTCTCTCTCTCTCTCCTCCCTCCTCTCTCTCTCTCTCTCTCTCTCTCTCTTTCTCTCTCTCTTTCTCTCTCTCTCTCTCTCTCTCTCTCTCTCTCTCTCTCTCTCTCTCTCTCTCTCTCTCCTCTCTCTCTCTCTCTCTCTCTCTCTCTCTCTCTCTCTCTCTCTCTCTCTCTCTCTCTCTCTTTCTCTCTCTATGTGCGTATTTCTCCCTCCTCTCTGTTCTCTTTATCAAAAATATATTACGACCGTATATATACTTGAACGTTTCTGCAATGATGTTTGAATTTCTGATCTAATTTGCAATTGCTTTATCAAATTCTGAAAAGGTACACTCTCAGTAAGTAATCGGATGTTTAAAACACACACACACACACACACACACACACACACACACACACACACACACACACACACACATATATATATATATATATATATATATATATATATATATATAAACATATATATATATTATATATGTGTGTGTGTGTGTGTGTGTGTGTGTGTGTGTGTGTGTGTGTGTGTGTGTGTGTGTGTGTGTGTGTTCGTTTATACAGAAAGATAGGGACAAAATCCCCTCATGGCTAATAATTCAAAACCATCCCTGTACGTCCTCCCTTCGCAGGTCCCTTGGGAATCTCCCAGAGCCGTCATCAAGGTGATCATCCAACGGCTGAACCGCTGACTGTATCAAAAGCTTCTTGAGCGCTTTCCTGAACTCGCAGGAAAAGAGAGCGTAGAAGGCGGGTTGCGAGATCTGGCCCAGAGAGACGAGCAGGAAGGCATATTTCGCATACAGCTGTTCAGCTTTCGTTAAGGACACTATGCTTAAGATATACAC